CTTTGGGCCTTTTTTGTGTGATAGAAGTACCGCTTAGACTGAAAGGAAAATTTTATAAGACGGTGGTGAGACCTGTAGTGCTTTACGGCGTTGAATGTTGGCCTTTAAAAGAGAAGCATAATAATAAGTTGAGTGTTGCCGAGATGAGAATGATTAGGTGGATGAGTGGCTTTACAATTAGAGACGAAATGCGAAATGAATATATCCGTGATAGGGCTAGTGTAGCTCCTGTGATGGACAAAATTAGAGAAAGTCGTCTTAGATGGTTTGGTCACATTAAACTTCAATCATCTGATGATCTGATTAGTCTGATGATCTGATTAGGAGAGTAGATGTTTTTGATTCGACTTATGTTAAGAAAGGTAGAGGTAGACCTAGGAATACTTGGGCTTATTGTAAAAAAATGATCTTAATATACTAGAACTAAATGAAAACATGGCACTAAATAGGACGCAATGGAGAAAAAAGGATTCATGTAGCCGACTCCACGTAGTGGGATTAAGGCTTTGTTGTTGTTGTTGTTGTTGGACTGTTATTAATTGAATTGTGCTAAGCCATGTGTAATATGTTCCATTTCACACTACTTGCTAATGATGGCTGCTGCATTCCCAACTACCATCACACCACACAATTACTTATTTCCAAATACTACACGTTTTTGGACATGCTATGAATGTCTAATTTTTTTTGGTTTGCCCTATTTGCAATGATATCAATTCAGCCCTTCCACCCTCCCAAGTCCACTCCCTGCTCTTAATGGAAAAAGAATAATGGAGAGGAAATAAATTAACACATAATACTGGTTGGTGTACATAAACGACTCGCTTTGTGATGTTTTGACCATTAGTTCAACGATTTCTTTGTGCTATTTTGACCATTTTTTCTATCAACAATCATTAGCACGAAGGCATCATCACCACCATAGGGCTGAAAATACAAGTTTCTTATATATATTAGATTTATCAGCCTGAGAGCTATCTTTTATGACTCACATTATTTTCATTATTTATTTCTTGCTGGGTTTTCTGCTCTCTTCTCGTGGGATTTTAATTTTGTTTTAATTCAAGCTTTGTTGTAAAGAGCGTTTTGGGTTGATTTTCTTTTGAGGATTGTTTTGTGGCACTACAATCTCGTTGAGATGATTGAGCAGATGAAATGTTGCTATAGTTATTAATCCTGTCATACAATAAAAAAAATATTTTTAGTCTTGTTTGATATTTTTAATTCGAAATCATGGTATTCTTGTTGACTAGTATGTTTTTATTAGCCTTAACTTGCTTTTATTATATATGCATTGAACATTATTCTACTTGTGAAGTTCCTTCTAATGTAAATTTTTTTGTAGAAAATTTATGTTGGTCATCAGTTCGATTATGAATTTGATTTCATTGCTAGACAACATCAGTTGGAAATGGCTAGTGATGATTATTTTTATAGGCCATTGATGTCATCCTTTACTAGTTTAGACGATGCACTTTTCATGCAGACGGTTATTAATTTGCAAGTTATTCTAATCCATTTCTTACAGTAATTATGCATGCTTTTTAGTTGAAATTACTTTGTTACATATCAGACAGCGATGCTTTGATCTAATTTACCAACTTTTTGGTTCATACGTAATTTTTTACATGGTAGTTCTCTTTATGGTGGTAATTTTCATAATATGCAGCGTTATTATGTCTTCTTTTAACCACTTGCTTTGATTTTTTATTGCTCGTAATATTTTTATCGATACCATTTTGCTTTAGGTCTCGAAGAAAATGAAAAACAGTGATCTTAAGTATGACATACTTGGTTGGGTGATCCTTGCCGTTGGCATTGTTGCATGGGTGGGTATGGCGAAATCTCACATTCCTCCCCCACCTCCTAGGTGAGCCATCCATTCATTTTTCCAGTTACTGTTTTGATTTTGGTGGTATAGGCGCTAGAGTTTTATCTGTGAGATCCACCAATTTTGTAATAACTTGTGAAGGTCATTTATAAATAATTAGCCGCACTTGAGTCAATTTACAGGGCCTTCTTACATTTCTTAAGAGTATCTGTTAGTACCACATATGATTTCTCCAATTTTAATTCTTCATCTATTAAACTTCTATTAAGTGGAACAAATTCTATGTTCATGACATTTCCATTTTATATTTGATTTGCTCATTGGTGGTTTCTTCTAGAACTATGCCTCGTGCATCTAATTTCGGCTGTCAGTGAAATATGTTGATTTTTCCTTTTAATCGACCAAGTTTTGTGGTGCATACCATATTATTAGGATTTGTTTGCGACTTTTTTTAATTTTTTTGTTTTTGCTTTATTTTAAAAACATATTTGATTATGCATTTTTTTGCATGATTTTATTTTATTTCTGTAACAAACTATTATTTCTTTTTAAAACAATCTAAACATCGTAAAGTTACGGGCATTTTCAAAACAATGAACCATTTATAACAATCCTTTTTAAGAATTGTGTGAAATGTATGCAAATGTCTCGTGTCTGTGTTGCTCTATTTGAATGCTGACAACCCTGTGGTGCTAATAATAGTTCCCTGAAATTTAATTTTTGTTGCCTCGTTCAGCTATAAGCTTGCGGTGCTAATTGAAAGCACACATTTGTACTCAATGGTTGCAAGTCATGTTTCACACTATTTGCTTCCAAAAGTGTGTGCAGGCATTTTGTTTACTTTGCTACTGTGGTTCGGGCATTGTGACATTTATCTAGTGAAAAAAAGAATGTCGAAGTATCCTGCGCATTATTTGTGACTTGTTTAAATTCTTCAATTTATTCTCTTGATTTGTCAAATTAATATTAAAATAATTTATTAGAATTCGACAGAAATTTCCTGTTTAGTTGATTCTCAAAGTGAAAATTATTGATATTTCTGGTAACTCAGGAATATTGAGTTCTTGTCATAGAAACAAAATTGAAATCACTACAAACGAGTAATGCTATTTATAAGGTTCCTTAGAACTGCAACTTCCCTAGTTTCTAAAAAATAATCTTACTATTTAGAGTAAAAGGAAAAAAAAGTTATATCAATTTCTCACAGTAGGTTGATGTCATGTACATTTTACAAAGCAAATATTATTACTATTTTCTTTTTTAATTTTGTAGTCCAATTAAAAAAATAGTATTTATAGTATAATTCTTATGATTTATATATCAAACACCTCAATTTTTATACTTATTTGTATAATACTCGATTTTAATAGGGAATTTGACATATATATATAGCAAAATTTTCTTATATATTATCATTTCTCTCACTTAAATTTTCATATTTATACAAAGGAGGACTTGAGTTTTCGACTACGTTGGCTATCACAGGGTTCATAGTTTGGAGCTATCCTAAAGTGTGGTGAAAAGGATTAGAGCATATAACCTTAGATGTTATAATGGTTTGATAATTATCAAGTGGCATCTTCTCTTAAAATTGTTAATTAAGGTGACAAATCAAGGTGTTTTGAGTGTTGCTTGGTTGGCTTTTCATTCTAAGTGTAGTTTTGATCAAATGATTAATAAACATATTTTTGTTCTTGGGCTCAAGTTTTGTTCTCTCTCCTAAAGTTATGGTTGTGAATGAAACAGTATATTCAAAATAATTAAAGTTAAGTCTTCTAATTTAAAGTTTTTTTATTTAAGATTATTTGTATTTTCACAAGATAATAATAATAATAATAATAATATATTTATCATGCAAAAATGAGATTTTTTTTTGAAATATTTCTATCACTCCAATGTATACGACATACAAATTTATTTTATTGATGCATGTTAGAAAATTTGTAGCGGTAGAGTGATGGATTACTTTCTTGTGTTGCATTGAGATTTCAACAAAAAAAATAACAAATAATTACATCTGAAGCTTTTACGTGGAAAAATTTTAAATGGAAAAAGTCACAAGGCCTGATTTTGTTATAAAAATCTATTATAAGTTAATTATTATAGAACCCTTATCCCACAGACGATAAAGAATTATAAAGTCTTTTAAATTACAACTTTGACGTGCGAATGAACTCGTTATAAGAAGTGGCCGGCAGCCGATGGCGATCGGTGGAGACCAACAGTGGTAGTTGATGGCGGTCGGTGGTGGTCAACTGATACGTCATGAAAAAATTCTCATCATTCGCCACGAATCCTAGGCATGACTTGGATCTCGAGATAATCTTTCGAGCAAAAAATGTTCCAATCTTGAGCTCTGATTTCATCAAACTGGCCGGCTCGATGAGACGGACCTAATGATATCAAAATTAGTCCAATTCGAATCAAACCAACCTTAGATCAAGTTATTAAACCACACTTAGAAAGTTTTCCAGACATATTTAGAAGTTCAAATGAGTTTTGAATTTAGGAATTCTGTAGTTGAATTGAGGTTCTTGCAAGACGAATCTAGTGAGCCTAAGTTTACTTAATTTTGACATTATTAAGGCATTCAAATGTCCTTCAAATACTGTCTAATCGAAGGAATCTATCCGTACCGTTCGATCAAAGTGCTTCATATTCATGTATTAATTGCATGCAAAACAATATAAATATAGCCCCACCCCTCTCATGAGAGGGAGGAGAGCTTGAGCTTGAGAAAGGACTTAAAGCTTTGAGAATGAGTTGAAGTCCAACGCCACTTTTTCCACTGTTGATCGTCGTTGGCTTTTGATGATCGTTGTCGAAAACAGTTGACCGCCTGCTGACCTCCGTCAACCATCGACGATCGCCTTCGATCACCGCCAATCTCCATGGACCACCGTCGACCGTCGTTGATCACCACCAAGCACCATCGATCGGACGCTGCCAATCGCTATTGTTTACCTCCCGTTCCTAACAACAAACTCATCATCACGTTGACGTTGTAATTCAGAAGAATTTGTAGCCCTTTTTCGCCTGTAGAACAAGGGATCTTTGTAATCATCAACTTATAGTGGAATTATACAACTGGGCTAGGCCTCATGGTTTTTTTCTTTATACGGGTTTTCCACGTAAAAACTTATGATGTCACTATTGGTTGTTTTCTTTTATCTGAGTGTGTGTTGAATCTTTGTACCACATTAAGAAGATAGTCTGCTACTCTACTGCCACGGATTTTCCAACACGCATTATTAATAAAAATTATTTTAAATTTAACATGACCCAAGACTTATATACTTATAAGTTTACAGGTAGGAAATCATATGTTTCTGGAGAAAACTGTATTCATTGATCTAATCATTTATTTGGTGAATATATAAGTCTTATCTAGGCAAAACTATTGAAAGATATTGGCAAGGATTCCATCCAACATTTCTAGCAACTTCTCCCTTCTACAAGTAAACTCAAGCCCATTAAAAACCAAGTCAAACAAACTAGCTTCCTCAATTGCGTCGTTGAATTTATTATTGAGTAATTGATTGACTTGCTTACCTCCCTTTTTTAAGCTTGTTTACATATCATATTAAAATCTCCTCCAATACAACAAAATTTATTTGTATTGTTTCCAATTTCCTTCAAACAGGCTTGAGGCATGACCACGGCTAGGCATGGCCACGCCCCATCTTGGCTGTGGTTACGACCCCTAATTCTGTTGCACTGATCCATGGCCTTTGTCAACAGATCCTCATTCTGACCTTCCAATCAATCATATAACTGAAAATATCGAACAATTATCGACGGTTATGGAAACCACCAGAGTAATCCGGACAGTCGATCTTCTGTCTGACCGACGAGCAAGACTGTCGCCATCGCCTATAGAAGGCGACTGTTCATCCCTCTCTAGACTCGTGCTACTGGTGCTCAGTGCTCTATGTGCTTGCTCTGGAGGTGTGAAGTCATCTTCTCAGGGTGCCTTTAGTCTTCGCTCTCCGGTCAGTCGTTGCTTTGTAAGTCTTTCTTCATTTCTCTTTTTTTTTCATGAAGTGTTTTAATTTAAGTATTTTAGTTAAAATCTAGTTTAGGTTAACTCAATAGCCATTAATTAGGCTTATGTTTGGGTTCGACTAAAATATACCCAAATCCAACCTAATCTTAATCTTTAAAATGGTTTTACCCAAACCCTAAAATTGAACTCAAATCTGACCCAACCAGGACTTGGCCCAACCTAGACCTGACCCAGCTCATATTTAGCCCAACCTAACCTAATCCCTGAAACTTAACCCAGAATTGACCCAACCCAACTTAGACCAGACCTAGCTCAGGTCTAGCCCAATCTAACCCAAACTCTAAAACCTAACCCAGGTCTGACCTAACCCATACTTGAGTCAGATCTGACTCAACCTAGACCCAGATCAGCTCAGGTTTAGCCAACCTAACCCAAACTCTAAAACCTAACCCATGTTTGACCCAACCCAAACTTGGCCCAACCTAGACCCTGCTCTGCTCATGTCTAGCCAAAATCATAACCCAAACTCTAAAACCTAACACATGTTTGACCCCAACCACCCAACCTAGACCCGAATCAGCTCAAGTTATACCCAACCTAATCTAAACCCTAAAAACTAACCTAAGTCTGACTAAATCCAGTTTTGATCTGACCTAAACTTGACCTAGCTCAAGTCCAGTCCAACTTAATCCAAATGAGCTGAAACACCCCGAAACTACTCAAATGACTCAAAACACCCCGAAACTACCCATATTCCCATGACACCCAAATCAAATCTTATGTTACCCGGGTCAACACAAGTCAACCTGGGTCAACCTAAATCAAACCTTCACCTATTGGGTCAACACAAATCAAACCCAAACCACCTGAGTCAATCTAGACCCGACTTAGCTTAGGTCTAGTCCAAACTTAAAACACCTCAAAACTACCCAAATACCCAAAACACACTAAATCAAACCTTAGCCTACTCGGGTCAACCCAAATCAAACCCTAACCTACTTGGGTCAACCTAAGTGAACCCGGTCCAACTCAAATCAAACCCTAACCAACCCGAGTCAGTCCAAGTCACGCTGAGTCAATCCAAATAAAACCCTAATTAACTTGTGTCAACCCAAGTTCACCCATTTTAAACCTGAATTATATTGAATTAGCCCAAGTCCAATCCAAGGCTATGGTTATTTTATGCATGTCTTCTAATTTTATTG